CCTAGGGAGAGTCAGCACCTTCAGGAGAGGAGGGGGAGCTGAACCCCGAGGAGAGTCAGCACCCTCAGGAGAGGCATTGAGAAAGTTGAATAGGGAAGAGTGGACTCAGTGAATCCTTCCCTAATTCAGCCTGGTCAGTCACTGAGACAGACAATGGAAGTGTTAAGCCCTGTTCTGGAGTGTATCCAATTTCTCATGACCTGACTCCCTGTGAGTGGACGGGCTGGTGGGTATGACACATTTTCCGGAAAGTTCTTCATTTTCACATTCCCTGTGGAGTAGAAAGCCTGTCTGAGAAGCGGATCTTAGTAGCACCTGGTACGATCAGAACAATGTCTGCACTCTAACTTGGCAGGGCTGCTTTGCAGCCACATGGCATGAGATATCATCATGATCTTATGGCAGGACTATGGAAAGCTAAGCTTCCCTCCATCCTCAGGGAGCTGTTAAATACTTTTCACAGATTTCTAACTGTGTTCTTGCTCTTGTGGAAAGTTCCTTTCTCCAGCTTCCACCCCCTTTTGGAATGAATCCCATTTTTTAAAAAAAATCAGTAATCCCGGTAAAATTTTCTCACTCGATGTGTGCTACTGTTTCTCTAACATCCTTGAGTGGGTTGCCATACATTCATCTTGTAAACTTGATAAGCACAATTTTTTTTTTCTGAAAATGTGTAATGTTAAATCAAATGCAATTGCGTTATTTCACTTGAATGAGCTCCAAGACAGGGAATTGAAGAGTTAGTGTATGTAAGAGAGAGCAAGAGAGACACAGACAGAGGAAAAGATAGAGATTCTGAATGTGAGAAAGCCATAGGCAAAGACAAACTGAGAACAAGGGGAATGCTGAGAAAGAGACTGAAGAAAAAAAATTATGGGAATTAGGAAAGTCAGGAGAGAGAATTGTATGGAGTTAGACGTACAGTCAGAGATGAAGAGAGAGAGAGAGCGTCACTGAGCTAAAGAGAGTAAATGTGTTTGTTAGAATTAATTGATCAGGTTAACAGATGCTTTTCTCTGTTGGGAGAGGTAGCTTAACCATGATTTTCTTATACGGTAAAGTGCAAATGTTCCTGAAGAGCATTAAAATTTTATTTCCACTTCACACAGTTCCCCACAGTCATAAGCACTGGACCAAGCTGTTACCTCCTGTAAGCTCCTGACAAAGGTAGACAGCTGAATACCTGTACCAACCCACCCCGGCCCATTAAAAACCGAGCTCCATTGACAGTACAGGATCAGAACATAAGACCACGTGCACAATATGATCCCGGTTGCTGAGAAACCCAGTCAACATATCCTGATCGCCAAGTGCCACGCCTTCTTAACGGATTGAGGCACAGACCAGCCTACATGGGCTGAATAGCCTCCTTCATGCTATAATGATTTGACATGAATACATGGCTGTTCTGCAGAGCCTTGGTCTGTTGGGAGAGGATCTCAGAGGGGGTGAACTTCTAGCAGCTTTAGTGATGACCCTTGACCCTGTCCCAAAAAGACACTGTGACCTAGTTGAGATGCTTAACACAATCAAAAGAAAACGGGGTAGATAAAGGGAAACTATTCTCTCAGGTGGGAGAGTCCAGAATATGAGGGCATAATCTTAAAGTTAAACCAGGGATGCCCAAGGAACACCTGTTCACCCAAAGTAAAGGTCTGGAGTCCTCTCTCAGAGAGAACTGTTAAGATTGTAGAAAAAAATGAAAATTTCAGAAACTGCAACTGATAAGTTTTTTAATTGGATACGGGAATTAAAAATTACAGAGAGAAGGTGAGTAGGTGGAATACTGGTACAAATCCAACCGTTGTTAAATTGAAAGGCACAACTGGCTTAATGGGCCAAATGGCCTCCTCCTGTTCCAATGTGTCTGCACAATCTATTGCACTGATATGGTGCCCATCAGAGATGAGGTTGCAAACTCCTTGCAGTGCTATACTATTGGATAGATCAGTCAAGGACAGCAGGAAGCCTAAAAATGTTACTGGAGTTTTCCTAAAGCAACCAATCGTCCCCACAATCAATATCCACTGTGCTCACAGCAATGACATATTGACGTTATACCCATGGCCTTATAGCATTCCATGCTGCATACATCTGTGGTTAGAATACTATGTGTCCCAGGCCACCATAACCAGAATTCCTGAGGTAGATAACCAGAAAGAATTCCATATCAACAGGTCCCACCCATATTCTGTTGCTTTGGCAACCAAAGTTTCAGGCTCCTGACCTTTGAGTCTGGCAAAAAGTAACAGCAGGTTAACAATCATAAATTGAATTTATTAAGGAGTAAGATTACAAACATAACTTGAGGATTACAGAATCAAACAGTATGGAGGAGCAGGACTGACATCAGAGGAGACAAGGCACTAATAGAGATGATGGTTTCTTTCTCCTGATATAGAAGTGACAATCTTTTAGCAAACAATGTTACCAACTGTTTTCACTTGTTTCCTCTAGTCACCAGTTGTTTGATGGTTTTATTTACAGGGTTAGTGTATTATCACCATAAGGTCAGTTGTGGGAGGGATGGAGGCTCCTATCACAGTGTGGGATTATTGGTGGTATTGCTATGTCATGCTTGTGGGGGTGGGGGTCACAAAGATCAGGATTCTCAGGGAATGGGAATGGGAAATAGTCTTGGGAGTTGGGCTCAGTTGGGGTCATGGAAGGTGGCTTCAGTGGGGGGGTGGTCCAGCTTATTTCCGTGGGTAACTTCTACTTCTTCAGTGCTAAAATAAATAATTCATTGCTTGCCTTTGCTGGATGTCTTCACCCTGGGACTACCCAAATTCAGTCTGGTGCAGAATCTCAAAGTTCCACAAATGTGGAGACCAATCATTGGAGCCCATTTTCCAAATTAAAGCCGGTTAATTCATTTTTAAAACAAGCAGATAGCCAGTGGAAGGCCCTGACCAACATTGCGCAGGTGAATGGAGTGGAACAGCAATCGCTTCCCCTGCACACACACACCCCCAACATCCCCCCCTCCCCCAAACCCCCAACTCATTCTGAGCAGTAACCAGGTTCGGGTTCTGTGGGAGTCCTGTGCTTTCATTGTCTCAGTCTATGGGTGCCTATGAAGATCAAAGTTAGGGTTGATAGAAGATTGCCAGGGTTGGGCAGTGGCCTGTGGGAATCAAGGGGACTCGGGGTCTGAGGGAGTCAAATTGGCAGCAGTCAGGTCTGTAAGAGCCTTTGGGGCTCACATTCTGAATCTGCGGAAGTCGGGAAGTTTGGATCAGGGTCTACGGGAGATTGTGGGAGTCAGGGTCTGCAAAGATCAGGGTCAGGCTTGTCATGGGCCAAGGTCTGTGTAGGTGGTGGTGTCTGTGAAGGGGTAGGGGGTTTCAGGGTATGTGGAAGCTGGGGTCAGGGTGTGTGGATGTGGGGGGCAGGGTTTGTGAGGGGGGCAAGGTGCGTGGCAGATCAGTGTGCACCAGAAGGGGTTGTCAAGGAGCGCAGAGGGAGCTAAGGAATTGTGGAGGGGATAAGGGAGCACAGGAGGCGGGGTGGGGAGGTGTCAGGGTGTGTGAGGGTCAGGGTCTGTGGGATTTGGGGTCAGAGTGTGCAGGAATGGAGTTATTCTGAACTCCTCTAATGATGACCTTTTGCAAGGAAACAATTGGTAAGTTTTGTTGTCCTGAACAAGGGCTGTCTATTGGACACAGTGATTCGCCATTGGGAACCCAGCAGCCTTGTTTGACTTCATTCGACTTTATTTTATTTATTCGATAAGTGACAAGAGAGGAAGTTGTGAGCGTTTGTAATTAGAATATGGGATGATTAGTTGGATGGAGCTAGATTCCATTTGATGTTCAGTGAGTCACTATCACCTCGATGAGTGCAAAGCGAGGGAATGAGAGAGATGTTCACTCTCCTTTGATCCATTGCCTCAGGCTCACTTCACAACCACTTCCAGTCTGACTGAGCCAGTTATTCCTGGCAAGTGTCTGTTAGAGATAAGAACAGAAACGACCACACCAGCAATTGGCCAATCTGTGAAATTGCAGTAGA